TTTCATGCATTGTGAAACATTATGTCCTCCCTTGTTTTTGCAGTACCGAGGATTGAACTCAGGACCCTGCACTTGCCAGGCAAACACTTATTCTAATGAGCTATCTCCCCAGTCCCCAATAATGCTCTTTTGAAAAGCAGGTTTTATTAAAATTATATATATATATATTTAAATTATATATTATGTCACATACATACATATCATGTCTCTGTACATATACATATAGGCACACAATTTCATTTCTATATATTTCTCTCACAGAGTCACTGCCCTCAAAGAGAACAGATATGTAAGAGATTTTTTTGCAGCATGTTTAGAGTTGCAAGAAAGGTAACAAAGCCCTCAATAGATGAATGGCTGAACAAAGCCACATATTAACAGAATGCTATAGCCTATCAGAAAGGAAGCAGACCTGAACCAGTTTATTTGAGGGCATCTTTGAAGTATTATTAAATAAAAAAGCAAAATGCACAAAAGCATAAAGAACACAATCCAGTTTTTATAAGATGCTCATCAAAGTTCCCTAACACAGCTCACACATATGTCTACTTGGTACTGAAGAAAGCGCATGGAAGGTTAGATGTAGGCTGTTAATAAGGGTGAGCTGGGAGGAAAAGGGCTGAGGTGCAAGGTGACTCTGGCAGTGTAGAAAGAGAGGAGGAGGCCCACCCAGCTTCCACCAAGATGAAAGACCCCTCTTTTAAAAAAATGTGTTTAGTATGGGGTCCACAGGTCTCACTACCAAGATCAGACTCTTGGTGATCTCCTGTTTTCAGTCTCCCAAGTGCTGGGATTATAAACATGTACCACCATGCCCGGAGTCAGCCACTGGCTCGTCCCAGAGGCGGGGCTGGCACGGCACACTGGGGATCGAACCCTGTCCCTGCACCTGCATAAGCAGGTGCTTTAATCCATTGAGCTATGTGACCAGCAGCTTCTACCAAAATGAAGAAAAAAAAAAAAAAAAAAGAAGCAGGACCTCCTACAATTGGGCTTTCTCACCTACCTGCAGCCTAGCTAGCCCTACCTCACCACGCTTGACCCTCTTCCCAGTCCATGGCCACACCTCCCCCTACACTGCATGTGGCTTTTCACGGCTCTCTCCAGGACTCCAGAATGGGGAGCAGGTACTGAGGGCAGGGCTGGTTTCAGAGTGGGGCCAGACTTCAGTGCCTGCTGGCTCCCCACCTTTGGGCAAGCTGAGGGAAAGAGGCTATGGGACACTGATTCGCTTGCTGACTAAGGAACGTCCTTCCCAGACCCAGCCTAGAGATCAGCCTCTCAGAAGACGCCTCACAGCCTCGCTCCTTTTCAGTCCTCTCCCTGGTATTTCCTGTTTTAAGACTCATCAAAATTTGGCATTGTTTTATTTGTGTGTGTGTGCTTGAGTGTTTAATGTGTATTTCCTCAATAAGCCGTAAGAGCTCCAGGGGAAACCTTGTGTGTACGGCACCCAGGGTGGCCCCAGCAGGGCTCAGGATGTGCTGCGTGCTTTCAGTGACTTACTCACTAATGTTCTGTCTTTCCTTGACTCAGTCTTTTATTCACCCCTGTATTCATTTATTCCCTATTCACTCCAGAAACATGTGGTACTGGCCAAGGGCTGTTCTTGATGTGAGTCTTGCACAGTCTAGGTGGCTTTTGCTGGGAGAAAGTGGGGATGTGATGACAGAATTCTGGGAACACATCCACTGAGTGAGCTGAAGGCTCTCCAGGTGAGGAGGAAACATTCCAGGAGGCTGGAGGATCCAGGCAGAAGGTGCACAGGGTGGGGAGCGTGAAGCTGGAGGAGGTGGGCAGCACCCTTTCTGCTCCCGTGAGTCCGGGGATCTCCTGTTACCTGGCTTTGTTCAGGTCTCTGCCCTGCATGGATCTCTCTCTGCTCCCTCCACGTGTTCAAATCCCTCCCTTCTGAGGGCAGCCCAGAGATCCTCCAAGTCTCTCATTGCTCCAGCTGCAAGGGCTGCTTCTGGCTACAAACAAACTCCCCAAGCACTAAATCTGGACCTCTGTCCGGTGACCACTTCCTAGCTTGTTCCGAGGCACAGCTCCCATCTCTCTCCACTGCCCAGGCAGAGGCTTTTGTCACCCTTCCCTGTGTCCTGTGGGCCTAGAATCTGGCACCACACTGCCCCTCAAGCCACACTGGTCTTACGGCGAATAGTCACCATGAGTTGGGGGAAGGGTAATACTTATTAGTCCATTTTATAGGTAAGGAATTGGGGGCAGAAACAAGAGGTGTGACTTACACTTGCTCCCAGCTAGACTTGGTGCTGATTTTCTGGTACAAAGGCAGAACTAGCTCCAGATCAACCCGGGGTGAGATGAGGGCAGGTGGGGTGGGCTGAGGTGGGAGCTGGGTCCTGAGAACCAGCTGGCCAGAGAGTTTGGAGTTGGGATGGCTAAGTTCAGGGAAAGCACAGCTGGGGTGGAGCCAAGGTATTTATTATGCTTGGTCTCGAGCTCCAAACAGAGCTGATGGATGGAGCCGCTCCAGTTCCTATAAACAGCTCAAGCCTCCCTCCCTCCTCTCCATCCCGGCTTTCAGCCACGACTGTTTCCAGTGAGATACAGGGGAGGGTGGGGGAGATGACTAGGGAGGGAACGGAGAGAAGAGAGAAGGGAGGCCAAGGGCAAAGCAGGCCGAAGACAAGACAGGATCCTAGAGGTCAGAGGGGAAGGGAGGGACGTCAGAGAGCTTTCCTATTCTGCTTCCCCACCAGCTGCTGGGTCCCTGAGGCAGCCCTCACCCTGCCCCTCTGTCTTCTGGGTCTGTCAGAGGTCTGGTCTTAATCCCAGGGGTTTATGAAGTCCTGGAAGGCAGGGGCTGTTTATTCAGGAAATTTTATCTGAGCTCCCAGCCTAGGCGGGCTCACAGTTTCTGGGACACACAGAGGGCTCCAGTTTGGACCTCCCTCAGGGGCTCTGGCCTGAGCCGACCAAACAGACACCCTAGGATATGGCTAGGGCAGCCTGGGGCTGTGCACAGCTGAAGGAGGGAAATATCTCTCTGAGAGGTGATCCATCTGAGCAAGGGTAGTGAAAAGAGTCAGCAGGTGGGCGAGATGTCTGAGGGGCAGCTCAGGGGAGAGGCTGGTGCTGGGAGGTCAGGAGGCAGTGCCACCTAATGGACGAGGAGGGGCCTGAGTTCAAGTCTCAACTCTGGACTCTAAAATGAGCTGATCTCTTTTAGTTTTGTCAGAAGTAACAGGACAAAATACGACAAATGTTCAACCCAGGGGGCCTCCCTGGCAAGCTTAGTAATTGTCCCCTGAGCACGTTGTGGGTAAGGGAGACAGACAGGGCTGAAGAGGGCAGGGACCTGCGAGCTACCTGAAGGATAGGGGGGCACAGGCGCAGACAGCCCATCCCATGTGGAGCTTGCTGAATGAAGGAGCCGAGTGATGGCACCTCAGGGTGCTCTGTGACACGGGGTACACATGGGCCTTGCCCTTCCCTGGGACTCGCTGCAAGCCTGGGAAGCCGGATGCTCTGATGACCTAGTTGGCAGCTGTGTCCATATTTGGCTGAAAACAGGAATTTCTGACTCACTGGGGGGTCTTGGCCAGGTGAGCAAAGTCTCCTGTTTGCCAGGAAAAGGGGTCAGGGGCTTGGTGGGCTCCTGGCTAGGTAGGAGGTCCAAACACCCTGGGGGTCAGCCTGTGCTACTCCAAGGCCTTCTCGGAGCACCTACTATGTGCCGCAGGTTGTCACACCCCTTCTCATCCCCAGGATATAGGTGTTTAAAATGTTTCTTTGGAAAGTGGGAGCTGGGAGCAGGAACCAAAAGGGGATTCCTGCTCTCCAGGAGGCAGTGCTGTGGCACCAGGGCCCATGTGGTAGCTGGGCCTGAGGGGGGGGACACAGGTCAGTGGAGGGAGGAGGAGGACCACTGAGCTGGACCTTAGGGACAAGCAGGTTGGGGAAGAAGATGGCTTCTGCAGAGGCTGTGACTGGGGGTGGGGCTGCTGAGGAGTCGGGGAAGCAGAGGACCAGTTGCTGGAACTGAGGCTGGGAGACAGGAGCACCAGGGCATTACTCCCTGGCTCCTAGATCCGGCCAGGCCCTTCCTTGCCTCTGCTTCCCAGTGCTCATTGCCCCATTTCCCCTCAAGCCCAGGGCGCCAGGCCCTACATCCTCACTCCCACCCTAGAAACAGTAATTCTCATTTTCCAGGTTCAATCTTTTTTTTTTTTTTTTTCCTTTTTTTTTTTGCGGAACCGGGGATTGAACTCAGACCCTTGTGCTTGCCAGCAAAAAGCACTTATTCCACTGAGCCATCTCCCCGGCCCCTTCCAGGTTCAATCTTGCAGCCTAATTTCTTCTTGAATTCTCTAGGCCCCTGGGGACCTTTGGCTTTATGGGTACAGGGGTGGACCCTCAGGGCAGATGCGAGGGGAGAGAGATCCATGCCTCATAGTCAGAACAGTGGGTGGCTATGATTAAGAGCAGCCCTGGAGGTCACGATTTAGAGATGGCTCAGGAAAGATGAGCATGTAGAGGACCCAGAAAGAGACTGGCCTGGCAGCGAGCAACGACTTCACAGGTGAGGTCTCTGATGTCAGGGAGGTCATAGGTGAGGAGCCCTGCCGCCCAGGGTCAAGATGAGGTCTGAAAAGTACACTGCATTTGGAAAAGGAGATAGTAGAGACCTTAGGAGGGGCAGCCTGGGAGGGTGGGGAATTTGCTGGTGACGAGGAAGGGTGATGGGGTGAGAGGGTCTTTCTGCTGTTTTCAAGTTGGGCAAGCCTAGGGCTGGGGAGATAGCTTGGTGGTCTAAGGGCCTGCTTGGCAAACACAAGGACCCAGGTTCAATCTCCAGTACCTCATGTGGTGCGAGCCCTGAGATGGCGTGGTGGCGCACACCTGTAATCCCAGCACTGGAGAGGTTGAGGCAAGAGGATCACTACGAATCTGAGCTGTATAGTAAGACCCTGCACCAAATAAATAAATAAAAGATTTTTTAAAATTAAAAAAAAAAGAAGATGGGTAAGACTTCAGCCCTGAGGAAGGGGCGGAGAGGGCGAGCACAGAGAAGGGGCGGGGTCATGCAGCTGCAGAAGGAAGAGCGTAAAGGAATCACCAGTATCTCAGAGTTGGGTGGGAGGCAGGGGTGTGCTCAGAGGGGCTGTGCAAGGCCACGAAGATGAGCAAAGCCCCAAGGGCCAAGGTGGTAATGAACTTGAACCTCAGTGTCTTCTGGACCTGACAAGAAGTGGAAGAAGTCAGGATTCAAGCACACTCAGGGCAAGGAAGAGGCTGGCATAACACACTGTTTTGCCAAAATTAGATTTTAATACATTCACGTGGGTTATGCAAAGAGCTGGTCCAAAGACCTGCGAGTGACAGCAGCATGGTGTAGTGTTTTCATAGATGAAGCACAGGGACCAGCACTTTGGCTCTGGGCCTGAGGAAGACTGTTGTACACAGTAGCACCTGTGGGCAGCCGGGACCGAGCCACCCAGTGGCCTCTGGCACAGGGTCCAGGTGAGGGCTCTAATCCTGACTGCAGCCAGCTCGGGGCGCCCTTCGTTCTCTCTGGGTCTCAGCTTCATTTTCCTGCGCTCTGCTGAATGCCTGTGGTACGGTGCTGAGGACAAGACGCTGAGGACACAGCAGGGTCTTGGGCTGGTCCTGGGGTTTCCTTTCTTCCCAGATAGCGCATGACCTTGTGGTATGAGTGAGAAGGGCTTATCCGAGTGGGCCTTTCTACCTATTTTCTTAGGAAGCAAAGAATCCCTGTAAGATAAGCAACAAGTCTGGAGTCAGCACTGCCTTGCCACTGGCAGCTGAGAGAAAGCCTATGGCTAATTTCACCCCAGTGAAGCTGGAATTTACTTTTTTTCCACAGGCTCTGCCACTGAGTTGATGTAGGCAGTTCCTATTCTTTTCTAGACCTCAGTTTCCCTATCTGTGCAGTGGGGAGTTTGGGCTTGATGGTCTCACCCTCTGGGATAGGCTTCGTGGAGGAAGATAGAATGAGGGAATGTAGGAGGTAGAGGAGAAGAAGGAGGGTGCACACTAGTCCATAAAGGAGGGAATGAGGGAAACTGAGGCTGATAAGGAGAGGACCTGCAACTGCCTGGAGAGGAGAAAGCAGGCATGTATTGGCATAGGAAGCTCAGGCCCTTGGGCAGGTGACATAGGGCCACTTGGTATCTACCTAACAGCTCATGGCCCCAGCAGCAGCAAATTCAGACCCTGGAGGCAGGAGGATGTGGGTCTGAATCTCAGCAGTGGTATCTTACCTATGAGACCCTTGAGGGAGATTTCTAGAGCCTTGTTTTCCTCCTTTATATAACAGAGGAAAACATCAATGTCCAGGATTTGTCACACAGAGGCAGCCACAAGGCTTGGATTTGCATCTGCAGCTGCTAAATTGGGTGCAAACCAGAGCCAGATATCTCTGGTTGAAGTCCTTGGCTCAGTAGCTGGGTGGGGCTGGATGGAAAAGCTGGCCCTGGGCAGGGGGAGGGGCTCAGGCAGCACTGGTGTCAGGGTGTGCAACAGGAGAGTGCCCCGGGAGGAAAGGTCCTGTCCAGAGTAGGAAACAGAATGCCCACTGCTGGATGGGAGCCCAGGGTGACCACCTCTTAACCAGGTCCTGCTGGGGCTGCTGTAGCCTTGCAAACAGCCCTGATCCAAGACATACTCATGACACCCTGGTTCTGTCTTCCAGCCACAGGCTCATCATTTTCCAGTGGGGCTGAAAGTCATTATTAGAAGATGCGACAGAACAGTCTGCTTGAAAATGTCTCAAATTCTCTTGGGTTTGGTCCTCTCTTTCCCTGGCACAGCCAGGGCAGGACTGTCCACCCTAAACCTTCAGGGCTGCAAAGTAATGGAGCCCCACACTCTCCTACCTTGGCCCCATCATTGTGGTTACTGCCCAGCACTGTGATAACCTTCCCTACCAGAAGGCAGGCATGTGTTTCATTTGGTAGTGTCCCCAAGAAGGGTATGGCCCCAAACAGATGCTCTGTGAAGCTCTGCTGATCTACTGCCCCTGAGCTTACCCAACTTCCGGCTTCCACAGCTGGACCAGATGTACAGCCTGGGAAGTGGGCCACCTACTGACGCAGCAGGATGCAGAGAAAGGGCCCTGGCCTGGGATTTAGAGACCAGAGTTCTGGGACTGTGGCTCACTCTGTGGCCACTGGCCAGTTCCCACTGCTCTGAGCCTCCAGTTCCTGCACAGACCTGGAAGGATCTTCTGGCTTCTTCAGGCTTTGTACTGTTGGTTAAACTTCTGCCGGCGGACACAGCAACAGGCAGCCAGTGTGGTGAGGAGGATGGCCACAGCCAGGGTGAAGGCGAGGATGATGATGAGGTTGATGTTCCTGAGCCCTCCTTCCTCACAGTCCTCAGGACGTACATGGCTCAGTGACACCTCTGCCTGTGACCCAAAGCGGCAGATCAAGTCCTGAGTGGCATCCACATCCACACGGCCCTGGTGCAGCTGAGCTGCCAGCCAGCCATTGCCGCAGCAGCTGAGTGGATTCCCTTGCAGGTAGAGGCGCCGAAGGCTGTTCTCTAGGCCGCCCATGGCACTGCCTGGTAAGAGGCTGAAGCTGTTGTTTCGCAGGTCCAGCACCTCCAGCGATACAGCCTGAGTCCAGGCAGGCAGGTGGCTGAGGCGGTTCTCAGAGAGATTGAGTCGCTTAAGGCAACGGAAATAGGGCAGGTCCACCTGAAGGACAGTTAGCCCATTGCCCTGCAGTGCAAGGACCTCCAGGGAGGCCTCCAGGCCTGCCAGGGCTCCTGTGGCCACCTTGAGACCAGGGTTGGCAGAGAGGTCCAGCTCAGTAAGTGGGGTATGGAGGAAGGCGCCTGCCCTGAGCATCTCCATCTCATTACCCGCCATGCTCAGAACACGGAGGGTGGGAATGCCAGAGAAAGCCACACAGCCTGGGAGGCTGGGCTCTGCTGGTCCCCCACAAGGGCTGACTCGGTTTCCCTGCAGGTTAAGCTGCTGCAGACTGGCCATGTTGGCAAAGGTATATGGTGGCAGGTCCTGCAGGGCATTGTCCTGTAGGAGCAGCATCTTTAGGGACCCCAGGGCTCTGGCACTCAGCTCTAGTGCCTCCAGCACATTGTGGCTTAAGTCCAGGAGCACCAGGCAGGGCAGAGAGCCTCCACGCCGGGCCCCAAAGGCCCGCAGGCAGTTCCGGCTGAGGTTCAGGAAGCGAAGGGAGGTCAAAAGCTCAAGAAAGCTGTCTGGAATGAGCTCAATCTCATTGTTGCTCAAATCCAGGTTCAGGAGCTGGGAGAGGGCACGGGTGCTGGCATTCCAGCTGGGGCTGAAAAGAGCCGAGGCTGACCAACCCTCAGAAGGCATGTGGATGCCATCGCTGCCTTGCGGTGGCCCTGTGGGAAACCGGATGAGGTTATTGGACATATTCAGGTAGATGAGTCTGGGGAGGGCGGCCAGGTCAGGGAAATGGAGCAGTTTATTTTCCCGTAGGTCGAGCCAGGCAAGCTGGTACTCAGCCTGGGGGTCCTGGGCTGTCTGAAAGGCCTCAATACTGTTGCAGCTTAGGTCAAGCACCCGCAGCTGCTGGAGGCTGAAGTCGGAAATACAGGTGAGGGAATTCCGGGAGAGATTGAGATGTGCCAGGCGGGGCAGGGCCTCAAAAGCACCATCTTCGATGTCCATCAGCACGTTGCTGTGCAGGTCCAACCGCTCCAGCGCAGGAAGGCCCCAGAAGGTCTGACGAGTCAGGCGGGTCAGGCTGTTCTCTGCCAGCGAGAGTGTGTGCAGTCTGGGGGCTTCACCCAGCAGCCACTCTACCAGGCCACTGTACAGGCTGTTCCCAGATAGGTCCAGGGAAGTCAGGTGCAGCAGGGGCCCCAGACCTCCGGCACTCAGCGCCGTGCCCACTGCCAGGCGGTTGCGGGCCAGGTTGAGGTGTTCCAGATGAGGCAGGGCCTGGAAGACTCCTGGCTGCAGGAAGCTGATCTCATTGGTGCTGAGGTCCAGGTGACGAAGGGCAATGTAGAAACTCAAGGGTGAGGCCAGGACATTCCGCAGTTGGTTTCCAGAGAGGTCAAGGGCCTCAATGTCCAATGGGAGAATGGGAGGGACCTGGTACAGGCCAAGGCTCTGGCACAAAGCCTTCTTGTCCACCTGAGGAGGGGAGAAAGAGCAGCAGGCATTAATGGGCACAGTGGGAGTACACCCAGATGGTCTACTCTAGAAGGACAGTTAGCTCCCCTCAGGGCTTGGGTCGATGCTTCTGTGGACTCCCAGAATGCTAGACCATCCTCCACTCAGCCTGTCTGATAACCTATCCTGCCCCCTAACCTTGTCCCTAGCACCCAATACAGCAATGGACAGAAAATAGGGACTCATTGTAGGTGCGATAGGTAGATAGACTGACAAGTGATAGATGGACAGGGGGACAAACTAAGAAAAAACCATGCTGGTAATCATCTCATTTCACAAGAAATGAAGCCATGTGTATCAGTCAGGGTGACTCAGAGTCAGTGAGCAGCAGGGCCTGGCTCCCTATCCTGAGACCCTTCTGTGGCCCTGATAGTTTGCATTTACTGTTTGTGCTTACTCCTTCTGACCCACCCACCTGCAGTGCCTGGCAACTGCTCAAAAACTCCACTATGCTTATCTTCCCCAGGACAGAGTCAGGACCTCAGTGAGGCATCCTCTGCTGTTTGTGATTCCTGCCTATCCTCTGTACAGGTCCACATGCACTGACCACTTCTGATATGACCCACCACTGTGACAAGAGTCATAGAATCTGTGTCATGTTAAAGCTTAAGTGTACAGGGTTGAGGCCTGGAATCAGTCACTTTCGTGAGGGGAAAGAAAAGGGATGTGCCATGGGATTAGAGATAGAGGGTGTCAGGAGTGAAAACTGCCCATCCAGTGCCCAGACTGGGGGACGGAGGCCTGAAGAGGCAGCAACCTGTATGAGGTCACAGGAAGCCCATGGCTGAGCATGCAAGGAAGAAGCACAAGCTGGGGGTTATTCTCAGGGTCCAGCTCTGTCATTTCTTCCCAAAGCCTCAGGTGGGTAGGGGTGGAGGATGGAGCTGGCCAGCCTCAAGTATCTGTGTGACTCTTCCTACTGCATGTCCACTGTGACAGCCTTGTGGCTCCTCGGAAACTGGCTTCACTGAGGTGAAGAGAGACCCAAGAGACCCAGGGACATTCCCACAGGGGACACCCACAGAAACCAGAAGCCTACCCTGGCCTCCTTGCCAGTCTCTGTCCTTTCCTCCTTCATCACCTCTCTGCTCACTAGCATCACAGACAGCCTCCTTGTGAGCATCAGTTCCCAGTCCATCCTGACCAAAGGAAGACATGACAAAAAGAGGAAGTCCAACCCTGAGTGGATTCCACGCCAAGGACATAGATCCCTCACCTCCTTTAATCCTCCTGTCTCCTTCCTCTATGTCATCCGTAAGGAAACTGACATTGTGCAAGGTCAGAGCCACAGGCTCAACAGAACCACTACCACTACCACTACCACAGTTTCTGTTCCTGTCTGTGCAAGTTTAGTTCTGGTTATGGAGCCCTCAGCTAGTCAGGCTCACAGGCTGATTCCTTCAATGCAGGAAATAACCTCAGGCACCATTTACAGGGCAATGGAGTGGGGCACTGCACCGTGCGTCACTGTGACCCCCATCTGCAAGCCCACGCCCACATTCTTTCTACATGGGCAAAGGTTCTCCAGGTTCCAGCCTGCCAGTGAGCCAGGGCAAAAACTAGCCCAGCTCAGAGTCTGAGATGCCTATGGGCTCAGGTGCCAGGACCTATGTTAGGGAGGCCCCAGGGCTGCTGATAGGCAGAACTTCCTTGGGATGCCCACTTCTCCAGTCCAGTGCAGGAAGGAGATTGAAGGCCACAGCAGCTCCATTTCCTGCTGCCCCCTGGCTCCAGCCAAGCTCCTAGCAGCAGGTGACCAATGGGCTCACCCAGGGCCCTGGCTGGGCTTTAGAGCTCCTCCCTGCTCTCTCTGCAGCATCAACCATGACCCAGCTCTCTTCTTAGGCAGAGAGGGGACTTGCCACTAGCTCCACATACTGTCTGGACACAGGATGGCATATCAGGGCAGGAAGAGGCATCTGGCATTGGGCAGCGTAAGAACAGTTGGGTGAGAGTACTGATTCCATCAGTTCCTGCCCTGACTCCGTTCTGGAGGTGGGCGGTGGCTCATTCTTTCTCTATTCCTGCCTGTAGCACCTTGCATGCTGCTTCAGAACACTGCCCTACCTGTGATCTCACTTCCCAAGGAGCCAAAGCTGACCCTGTTCCCCTCTGCCTGTTGGGCCAAAACCCTTTACTTCATAGGGCCTCCCTCTGTTCCCCAAGGTGTGTGGGTATTTGGTTATGTCCAAGGCCTTCTCCACCCATCATTCTGGGCTCTCCGAATCTTGGAGACTCATAGTAGAAAAAAGAGTGGTAGCCACTGAAGATACATCAAGCCCAGGGCAAAGGTAGCCAGGCACCTACTAGCACTCTGGTCTCCTGCTACAGCTGCCTGTTCTGTGTCCAAGTGGGGCTGCTATAGGGCTGGCCCTTTCCCCAGCTTTGAACTATCTATGGCGACCCAGCCTTGTAAGTGGACACAAATGATACCTGTTCCCTGCACTGGACAGGGTCTGAAGAACCTGAAGATCAGTTTCCTTGGCTTGCAACAGGAAGAACGAACAAACAGGAATCAAACCTGGTCCCTGCCCTAGAAAAATTCTTGGTCGGAAGGTAAGACAGGCTCAGATCACTCACTGGTCACCCTGTGTGCTCAGTGTGCTCAGCACTGAGGTGGAGGAAAGCTGGGAGTGGCAGAAGCCTAGAAGAGGAGGCGGCTAGACAGCCTGGAAAGGTCCAGGAAGGTTTCCTGGAGGAGGCTTCACTGACCTGCCAGTAATGAGTGAGAAGCCAAGGAGCCTTGTGAGGGAAAAGGACTTGTCCCTAGGAAGGACAAGTATAGAGGAACCTCTCCCAGGGAGCCCATTCCATATTCCCTGTACATCCTAAATCCCCTAGCCAGGCCCCCTCTCCTATAAGGGCAGCTTAGGGGAATACAGTTCAATGTTGAGCTCAATGTTCTTGTACAAGTCTTCTTCTTCTCTAAGCCTCAGTTTCTGCCTTTGTAAAATTGGAATAGTAAGGTTTACTGGGTGTGCTTGTTGAGTAGACAAGGTATTTAAACATTTTAGTGGCTGCTCATTAAATGAAAGGTAAATCTCTTTCCTCTCTTGATTCTAACTTCTGGCTTCTGGGGCTGAGGACAGTAGGACATCTCAGGACGAGGGTGTGGTGTGTTGCTTCCCCTCCCTTGGCAGAGCACCTTACCATCTTACAGGGTGCCTTGTCTTGGGGTTGGGGGGTAGCCAGGCCTCGAGTCAGCAAGACCAGGAACAGCAGGATCTGGTGGCTCATGGCTCTGTGTAGAGTGGGGAGGAGAGAGAAGCACTGTGAGATCACTGGTCCTTCCTGCTGCCAGCCTCAGCACTTCCACCGTCCCAGCCTTTGGGAGCCTTCAGGGAGCCCCAGACTGCAGCTGGGCTGGAATACTTGGGAGGGGACCAGGTGGGACATGGGGTGGCACAAAGGGCCTGGGAGGCCAGGCCAAGCTGGGTCAATGTCTAGGAGAACCAAGAGTCTTAGAGCAGTGGTGCCTTGGCCAGATGTGGATTTTCAAGACTCTGCCCATTAGCAGAGGTTGGAGGGGAAGTAAAGGTGGCAGAAGGGCCTAGGGCTGCCCTGGGCCATGCTCTGGGCTGTGGATGGGGATCTGCCTCTACCTCCCCCACATCACAGCAGGTCCCTATCTCAGCTCCTTGGGCCCTCATTCCATCCCCCTACCCACTGCCAGGCCCTCTACCTCAACCCCCACTCCCACCCTCTTCATTTTGTCCTTTTTCTTTTGATTTTCTGATTATTCAGCCTTTGCCATTGTTCAAGGCCTGGGATCAGGTCCCTGACAGGAAGTCCCACCAGGGGACCTGCCCGGCCCCAGCACTGTGTGGACTTCCCCTGGCGCAGGCCGCCAGGCCCCTACTTTACTTTCACTGAGGCGGCTGGCTGTACAGCGGCACTGGGACTTGCTCTGTGAGTAGCCAGGGAGTAGGTGAGGGAACCCCAGGGCCCTCAGCAAGATTGAATCTCCTGCTCTCTCCCTGAGGACCATCTTTAACCAATTGCTGGGGATACACAGATCAATCCATCAGTTTTATTCAATCAATCAGTTATAAAGTCACTGAATATTTTCTCATGTGCTGGGAACTGGGGACACAAAAGAGTACACAGAAGTGACTGTAATGTGGACAGACAGTATTAACAACAAGCGACACATAATGCCCTCCAAGGACTCTAGACTCTGAGCTGCCCCCATCTGACTGCCCCCTCTTAGCTCTTCCTCTTACCTGCCCTGAGACCTTGTACAGGTCACCACACCTCTGTGAGCTTGTTTCCCCTTCTGAGGTTAATGACAACTATACCAAGTTTTGTTGAAGACCAGATGAGATATATTCTCTGAGAGTGTCACTACAGAGCCCAGACACTCTTCTCAGTGCTTTACGAATTCACTTAATTCTTACAGCAACTCGGTGACTTATTGGTTCCATTATTATCATTCCCATTTTGTAGAAGGGAAACTAAGTCTCAGAGGGGCTAATTATAAAGCCAGCTAAGTGGCAGGTCCAGGCAAGTGTGGCTCAGGAGTCTGTGTCCTTACATTCCATACTGTAAGGTCCTTAGGTCTCCCACAGCGAAGGCTCAATTATGAGGTCTGAACTGTGAGTCTGAAGGAGGCGTGGGAGAAAAGGTGCTCACAGGGCCTTTAAGGGTTGTGCCGTGACTGTCAGACACCACTAGCAATGACTTTTAGATGACCTTTAATTGATGATAGCTGCTCTGAGGTCCTTTCCTGCTGGAACATGTGAAGGCCTCCATGGTTATGTTTCAACCCTTGTACCTGGCTCCCTGAGGCCAGCAGGTACTGCCCTGCAGTGGTGCTGCTTATGTTGATGGGAAATTTGGTTCTGTTGTTTACAAAACAGATGTCAGGGCTGGTGGGATAGCTCAGCTCTCTAAATCGCCTGCTTGGGGACCGTGGTATGAACCCCAGCATCACATGCCATACCAGACCCACCCTTAAGGCAGGCTGAGCCGGCCAAAAAAAGAAAAAAAAAATCCTTAAAAAACAGATGTCAATTGGGCATCATGTTGGATATCTGTAAGACCAGTAGTTGGGAGGAAAATTGGGGTATAACTATGAATGTCCATTTTGTATCTGTGTATTCAAAG